CAGTTCGGTTTGAACTAAGAATGCTGGTTTAGCCTCAAGTTATAGCTCGGTCATGGACAAGGCTTTCAAGCACACTACTGTATAGACCTAGCGGTTCGATATCTCGGTTAAAAAGAAGGTTTTGTTAGACCGGTTGAGCTTCTAGGGACAGCTTTCTTAGTTCGGTCTAAAAATTAAGAATGCTGGTTTAGCCCCGAGACATAGCTCGGTCGGAATTAAGGTTTCCGAATACACTATTGTACAGCCCTAGTCCGGTTCATTAGCTCAGTTAAGGAGAGTATTGTACTTTGGCTTGTTGAGACTAATGGGGTAGCATGAAGTATTAGTTCGGTTAGATAGTCTGCCTAATTCAGCTTTAACTACAAACAACTTTCTAGTCCGGTTGCATCATGATTTTGGATCGAAAACCAGTGTTCTACAGGATATTACATGTATTCGAGTGTTCTATTGCTAAGTTTTTCCAGAAGTATACAAATCAAGTAGAAAGAAAGTGTTTCGCAAAAACACAAACCTAAAGCTGTGGATTAAACAAATGTGAAAAACAAGGAAAGCAAGGGAGGTTTGAATAGCTTACCAGGACAAGAGAAGATGAGAGAAACGGCAGCAAAACCACGAAGCTTCTTCGAATACAGATCAAAGAACTCAGCAAGCTCAGAAGCTCAAGAACGAGAGGGAGAGAAGAGGAAGTGAATAGTGTAGTGTTTGATCCAAATAAAGAGTTTTTGTTTTGATGCAAGGGACAAATGTGGGAACTGTTCAAATTACGCGAGGTACGAGGGCGGCGTGACAACTGCCTTTAGCCAATCAGAGCGTGCCACGTGTCATTGAAATGAGAATCGATTCAGTCGTTGTGATTGAAGGGACGTTTTGACCGGACAAGCTGAGCCTGATGGAATTTAGTTCGGCTGGAAAGGCTTAAGAGTTTTAGCTCGGCTGGAAAGACTAAAGGGGTTTAGTTCGGCTGAAAAGGCTGAAACTTTTTTAGCTCGGCTGGGGACAGGTAATCCCTATCATGCTTTGCAGATGGAATTAAGGGGCAATTGAGAGGGTAATTTATATGAAAATTAGGCCGAGCTGGGCCGTTATGGGCCTCAGTGCAAAGGGCTGAGTAAAAAGGGCATAAAGTTACTCCGGTCTTGAAGAGGTTTAAAGTTACTTCGATCCCAAGGAGGTTAGCTCGGTTACTATACTAAAACTTATACCGGTTATGGCGCAGTATGGTTAGCTCGGTCTAAACCTTGCTAAAAGTTAGCTCGGTTTAGACTTACCATGGTTTGTACAAGAGGAACTGAGGTAAGGGCAGTAAAAGGACGAATCGAACTAAGGATAGTTCGGTCTGTTCTACGGCTAAGCATAGCCATGCGTACCTCGGCCACATTGGAGTCCGACCATGGTAAAACCATCTCACTTGGTTTAAACAGTGAGGGGAGTGTTGAAGGATAAGCATTATCTTTCAAGAGTATGAATCCTAGGAGGACTCTACATGGAGGAGTAAGAGTCCTACTTGGATTGTGCCACACGGAACCTATAAAAGCTCACAAACATCACATTTGGAGAGGTAACACAACTTTGATTCCTGAATACACAGAGCCTTTGTCTACTTGTCTATTCTGCTGACTTAGGCATCGGAGAGGTTTCCGGCACACACCCGCCGGCTAGCTCACATTTGTGTTTTCAGGGAGTAAAGCGACGACGTTTGGAGGAGCGCAGACTTGATCAACAGGATTATACGAGAAGATTTATTTCTTTCCCACACAATAAGAATAACTTATATTAAATTCAAAAGTAAAATATTTCTTTCTTCTCATAGTATACTCTTATCACATATATGTATTTTTCATATTCTTCCTCAAGTTTTAATTATTTTATTTTTTTCTTCCTATTCACTACAACTTTTTTATCCTTGCAAATAATTTTTTTTTATACATAAAATCAAACAATGGGTAAGGATAATAATCAAAACCATTTTTTGAAACAACCTATCAAAAAAGAGATAAGTATTCACACAAATATAAAAAATATTGATATTTGTATTTTTCTTGTTTAACCTAAAAATGAATATTGAACTTGTTTAACAACAATCTTGATACAAAACATTTGAGAGGTTTAAACTATGAGCTATAAAGGAGTTGTAGAGGGTGGACCCCGCTCATTGATGTGAGGTTTTGACCTTAGTTTTTTTTTTTTTTTTGAATTTTTATTTCATTAGTGTTCAATTAAAACTCCAAAATTAAAAGGATGAATCATTGTTGATCTTGATATTTATGTTTCCTTGTTTAACCTAAAAATAAATATTTAACTTGTTTAACATCATTAGTATTGGAACTTCCAAATTCAAACAAATTTATTTTGTTCAATAATACAGTATCAAATAAAGTCAACATGTTTGGATCTTAAAGTTCAACCAAATGATATTGTTCTGTATGATAACTTTGTTATTTTGAAACATAGTTAAAAAAATCATAAGATGATATTCGGAGGAATATAAAATTTTAAATAATTAAACAGACTCGGAAATTATACATAATAATAATATATATATATATATATTTTTGGTTGGGTGCAATAGAAGTAAAATATATGTTCGTTTTCCCAACTTGAATCAGTGATCGGACTAAGAGGCGGGAAGGCATAAAATCTCCTTCGGAGTTGCAGAACAGAGGGCGACCAATCTCCAATTCCCTTTGTATCATCATCGTAGCTATATCAGGTTAATGCTTTTCTTATCCATGTTTCAATTTCTTCAACTTTTTTTCTTTTGGATTTTTTTTTTTCCCCGAAAATTGATACTGGGACTGTTAAGAATTAGTCAGTCGATTCTCATTTTGCGCCAAAGTTTGATTAATCGATTGTGAATTATGTTATTATGATGCCTGATGTCTGCTATAATTGTGTTTCATAAATGTATGTATTGGTTGATGTCTGATGTCTGCTATAATTGTGTTTCATAATTGTGTTTCATGAAGATGTTTGAGCTTCTTCACGAGTGTATTTGTCGTACTGAGGAAGATTTGAAATTTTATTGAAATCAAATTGAAATCAAATTGGGAGTCTGGGCTCTCCAAAATTGAATGCGACAATGTTACGTAGCTCAAATTTTGTGACTCAAAAGTGGCTCAAATGAGTCACAAAATTTGAGGTACGAGACATTTTCCAATTGAATGTTAGAAAATCAGTTATATGACACAAAAGTGATAAAAGTGGGCCCTATTTTGTGGATTAAGTGTTTGTTAGTTTAAATAGTGTAGTTAAATTGTATGCTTAAGATTTGGATTCACTTAGATGAATATTAAAATATGATTAAAAAAATTGAACATAAAAAGTTTGTGGATGTGCCACAGTAAGCAACAAAGCTAGCTACAAAACTAATTAAGCAACAGCAAATCACATGCACTGGATATCAAAATTTCATGTATTTTAGTTATCAGTGTTATTGTCTCGCTCTAACGGGCTCTCAGCCCATTTTAGATGCTCTTATTATGGGAGTGAGAATTTGAATTCAAATCAATTGTGTGAGGTTTTATTTGTATTTTCCTTCTAGTAATTCATTGAGCAAATTCTTTGGAGACAAGTTAGTTGGGCCAGTTTAGTATCTTTTTCACTTTATGTTTTCATTTTAATTTTTGGAAAACAAAAAGAAACTTGTTTGGTGAACTGTCTTGAAAACTATTTTCGAGAAAAATTTCTAGAAAGAATCTATTATTTAGGAAACACCAAAAAGTTGTTTTCGATGTTCTTGCAGAAAATGAAAACGAATGGTATATAAAAAAAAAACATTATTTTTGTTTTTGTAAACACAAACAGCAAAAATGAAACAAATTCTTTTTTGTTGGTGATAAAATAAAATTAAAAGGAAAAACAAAGAAAATGAAAGGCCCTACTTTTTGTTCAGAAGTCTCAAGGTTAGAAATAACAAGTTAAAAAGTTTCACTCTTTTCCTTGTCATAAATCTTTGTGATAAGAACCATAAATCTTGACATGAAAAATTTGTAGCAGAATTGCTAAAGCATTTCTGGATTACTCTATGAAAGGTTTGGCTACTTCAAATGAGAAAAGTAAAAAAAACAACAACAAAAGTTTAGGATAAACTGTGTCAAGCCAATTAGCTTTCATGATGCAATGGAATTATCACAAGATTAGATATCATTCTGGTAGAAGAAAGATCCTGAATTCACTAATAGAAAATTCTGAATCCACAAGAAAGAGAAGAATTCTCAAAGTGAAATTGAGTAATATTGATAAAGTTCTCTTACTTAGAGGCTTTCATGATTATTAATAATAAGAGAAGTCCTAATCCAACAAAGAAACAACTACTGAGGTCAATTCCACTGTGCATCACCATTGAGGACGGTGATGAGTTTGATTTAAAACATCATTTCTAATCAGACTACCAGATTTGAAAGGATTTTGAGTTCATCCACAAATTAAGTTTCTGCCCTAATGTGACCTCTTATTTGATTATTGACAATCCATTTTTTTCCATGAATTCTCCAGCTTCTTGTTCTACATTATTTCACATTGCTGTTTTGGAGTTCTATTGAAGTCTACTACTTTCCTATAAAGAGAATCATTGAGATAGCCAAGTATCTGGTTTCTATCATGTCTAAATGAGTATCAAAATTTTTCACTTTGCTTGGTTCCTGTTTTCAAAAAACACTTTTCAGAAAATTCTACTTTCTTATTTTTTGTGCTTTTTTGTTTTTACTGAATTTTTTTAATATTTTAAACAATTTTTTTTTTACTTTTTAGACATACCTAACATAAATATACCTAAAAAGTAAAAAATTTGTGAAAAAAACCTTTTAAAAATTCATTAAATACCAAAAATACAAAAAAAAAAATACGAGAATTCAGTACATTTTTTGTATTTTTATGTATTTATTAATTTTTAAAAATATTTTTTCACAAATTTTTTACTTTTTAGATACATCTAAGTAAGGTGAATCTAAAAAAGTAAAAAAAATGTTTAAAATTTTAAAAATATTCACTAAAAACAAAAAAATACGAAAACCAAAAAACTCAAATTTCAAAAAATTTAATCCAAAAAACTCAAACCAAACACAATGATTGCTTTTTATTTTAAATTCAGTGTATTGGGATGTTTTTCATTTTTTGAATTGAACTTTGTCAGTCATTTTATGGTAACAAAAAGGGAAATATCTCAACAGTTGCTAAATATCTCACACTGTTGAGCATTATAGTCACTCACCAAACATAAATCTTCTGATTCATGGAGCCACGGAAGTGGGGGATTCATATCAGCTACCTTATCATTGACAACAATGAGGATGAAGCCAGGGAGAATGGGGCCAGGAATCCTTATGGAAATGCTATTGGGTGTTCTATGCACTTTGGTATTACCACATCTCTCTCTTCTTTTCCTGTTTCTGGGGTCAGCGTCCTTGCATTTTAATTGGGTTTTTGTTTCTTGAAATTTGAATAATATATTATTTGTTGTTTGAATATGCCAATATGCTGCATTGGTCTATGTGGGTTGTAACAATGTAGACTCCAAAATATAATGCACATGTGAAGTTCAATAAACTTTTTTAAGGATTTACACTGAGCAACTCAACCTGTTACATATTTGGGTTTGAATTCTTTAGGATTATCAATTATTTTCTGAAAGTTATATAGGTTAGTATTCCTTAAAAACAAACAACTACACAACCAATTCGACATATGCAAATTCTGACAGTTAACTTAGCGAACTTCGACATGTGAATATGTCATGCATATTACAATATGATGGGACTTAAACCACAAATGGATGTTTAGGTGCCTTGGGTGTTTTGATTGATTTATTTGTTTGAGAAAAATTAAGATTGCTGACCAAGATAAATATTACAATGATTTCTTTTAATGAAAATTTGGGGAGAAATCCTAGAGGTATTTGGTTTACTTTTTCTTTAACCAGAGATCCTTTCGAATTATAAATGTCCTATAGGCAGCATTTTCCATCGGAAGATTGACTTACAAATAAAAATAAGACACTAGCTATTATTTTTCTTTAATTCTGGTTTTAAGATTTCTGCACCTATTTTATCATGTATCTTTGACAATATAACTGCTTCTTGTTGCTATGTTTTTAGAACTTCAGATTTTTACGTCTTTATAATTTATATGTATCCACTTAATAGTGTGTCTAGATCAACACTCTGCTTTAACTTTCTCTTAGAGGAGAAATTTGGGGGTTGAATTGAATATATTGTCTTTGCACTTAATTGACATTGCTGTTGAGTTTTTCCTAGAAAAAGAAAAATGAAAGCATTTCTGGTAGGTTTGTTTAATGTTTGGCTAGAATTGAGGGGATAGAATGAGTTCTGGGTTGTGATATTTGTGCTGCTTGTCCGAATGGGAAGTCCTTTGCTTCTAAACAACAAATTATTATTAATTCTCTGTTTTGCAGAAGGTGACTCCTTAGTTTTGTGCTAAAAAGGACACTAGCTTGTCAAAGGACCTCAATTTTTGTTGCTTAGGAATTGGCTGTCACTGTCACATTGTTTTTTCCAAGCATGTTTTGACTGTGGTTTGTGAATCCATGCCATTTCACTTATAAGTTGTTTTCTGTTCAATTGAAATCCTATATTTGAGGGAACCTCCTGATTGCATAAATTCGGATGCTATATTAGTCCTTTTGGCACGGAAGAGGAGTGCTTGATATAAGTAACAGTCTTGTTACCTGGTTTATGCCTTTCGATGATTGGAGGTGAGTAGGTTGGTTGTGTGAGCCTTTTGAAATGTTTTAGACATGTAGGAGGTGTGGGATCACTGGAGGAGGGTTAGGTGATGGCTGAGGTGGCCTTAGGAGAGGGAATTATAGGGAATAATAGAGAGCTAAGGAATCATGAGTTGCATAGAGATGAAATTGATCCTTCTATAAACATCGTCAGTGCTAGATGGAGGCACGTGTTGTGGCCAAATGCTTTTGGAGTATGAAGGACAGGTGGCTTTTTTCATGAGTCATGTCTATAACAATTCTTTAAAGTGCCATACCACAGTCATTGAAGCCAAGCTGTTCCTTGTTGACCCTCTGAAAGGGAAATCACAAGATCAATGCTGTTTTGTTGGTGGAGCTAAATAATATAGGAAATTGCAATATCAAGGTATACAAAGCAGTCTCTTTGGCAACTCTTAATGCTTATGGGTTGGTGCTACCCTTCTTCAAGCATTTGGATAGGCATTTGTGCCTTGTTTTGGGCTACATCTATAATATAAATGAACTTAAAATGTTTTCATATGCCTTCAACCCACATCATAATTTGATACCATGGTAAATATTTGATGCGGGGTTAAATATGCAAGTGTTGCATAACCCTAGCACATATCTGAAAATGTTCAGGGGAAATATAATGAACCCGATTGGTAGTTCCAGAGTTATGATTTCTGCTGTTTTGAATTATCAAGTCACCCAACTGTCCAAAAGCTTAAATGAGCCCAACAATGCGTATCATGCTATCTAACACCCCATAACATGCGACCTTGTCTGCTTATGAAGACCCAAATGGATGAACATAGAAATTGAACATGGTGCAGAAACACACACAATATAGAGTGCACAATTACAAACATAAAAGGATCAAATGCAAATTATGAGACTTGACCCAAGCTTTCCTAGAACCAGATTTTTGATACCTGATTAGATACGATGAACATAGAAATTGAACATGGTGCATAAACACAGACAGACAAAGTGCACAATAACAAACATAACAGGAAACAAATGCAGGTTACAAGACTTGAACTTAGGAATTCCTAGAACCAGAGCTATGATACCATGTTAAATTATCAATTGTCCCAATAGTTTAAGCTGATAGGACATGGGCTCAAGCATGTATATCAAGTTATTTGGCAAGTATGAAATGAGCTAGTGAACCACAAGTGCACTTCCACAAGCAAATTTTTATATAGAAAAGAAAATCCATCTAAAATGATGTGGTCGTGGGAATTTTGAAATTATGTGACACAATAATGTTTGTTTTTGTTTAAAATGAAAGGATCATAACAAACCACTATATTTTGTACAAAAAATTTATTGTCATCATTGAAACTGAAGTTTTACAAAACTAATGGCATATAATAATAGTCATCATTGTTAATACTTCATAATCAACATTATTTCATTGTTCGCATTGTTTTTCATTATCAAGACCGCCACAACAGCAGATGATAATTCTCATTGTTGACCCTTTTTGTTTAAAATGGAAGGACCATAATAAACCACAGTATTTTGTGCAAAAAATTTGTTGTCATCATTGATACTAGAGTTTTACAAAACTAATGGCATATAATAATAGTCATCATTGTTAATACTTCATAATCAACATTATTTCATTGTTCGCATTGTTTTTCATTACCATCACCACCATAACAGCAGATGATAATTCTCATTGTTGATCCTTCATAATCAGCAATATTTCCTTGTCATCATTTTTCATAGTCATCACCAGACTACTAGACTAATAAATTTTAGGTCATTGTTATTGCCTTATTCATAGGCACAACCCTACAAGTGATATCTCTCTTCCTCAGATCCCATCCTTTTCCCTAAGCTAATACAAAGGGTATTTTGTTTAGCTCCTTTATTAGGAGAATGGATATCTATGTTACATGGATTTGGTTCATGTGTTGGCTTTCTCAATTTGAATCATAAAAGACAAGGACATGAATATTGTTGGAGTGCATTTCCATATACTAGGATAAAGATCTTTTATTTGTAGAACATAGTCTGCCATCTTGGGTACTTAATTTCATTTTGAAACATTTGCAACAATTGATTAAAAAGATGAAGTTTCTCTGGGATTGTATGGTAGAACTATATGCCCTTCTGTCCTTCCTCTAAAATTTATGTCGAGTTAACATTCTTTCGCTGGCAGTTCAAACACATACCCATTACATATGGGCTCTTGGCATCTTGAAGTGTCCATGTAATATAGACAGGGTTAATTAAGTATTTTATGTAATTTGAAATCATCTTGCCTATCATTTTTACAAAAAAATTTGTACATTACAATAATGTAGGAGAAGTCATCCATGAAACAATTTATTGGACCTCGTTTTTGTGCAAACTTAGACTTACTGCCCCTACTAGTATAAGATGGTACAAGATATCTTGAAGACATACATTGACTTTTTTCACGTTGTATGTCTCGAAAATGCTTATTTTCTAGTCATCCTAGAAGAAAGTTGTACAACATTGGCTTACCCTAATTTGGGTGAGACCATGTCTGTTTATAATCAATATAAGATACACAGGAAAAAGGAATTAAATAATTATACAATCAAATCCTAAAAATCAAATCCCTAGATAACCGTAATTTATAGAAATCACGGGATCTCCTAAATATACAATATTCTATATTCCAACACTCCTCCTCAAGCTGGATCAAAGATGTCAACCAAACCCAGCTTGTCAATGGAAGATCAAAGTAGGGATGGTCCGACAGATTTGTTAAAGATGTCAGCAGTCTGATCAGAAGATGGAACAAACGAGGGACATACATGCCAGCTCGAACCTTTTCCCAGATGAAATGAATATCAACTTCAATATGCTTAGTACGCTCATGAAGCACAGAGTCAAAGGCAAATAAGATGGTAGACTTATTGTCATAAAATAGCTTGGAGGAATTATTCTCCTCAAAGCCTAACTCAGTAGTAACTCACATGTCCCATAAGCCATGGCTCGGTACTTAGCTTCAGCAGATGATCGAGAAACAATTGCTTGTTTTTTGCTTTTCCATGACAGAAGATGTATACCAAGGAAAGTACATACCCCAGAAGTGGAACGTTTGTCAGTCAATGAACCTGCATAGTCTGCATCAGTAAAATAGGACAATCCTATCTAAATCCCACCATTGAAGAATAAATCCAAACCTGGACATAACTTGAGATATCTCAAGATGTGGTGAATAGCATCAAGGTGAGCAGTACGAGGTAAATGCATAAACTAACTAACCACACTCACAGCAAATGTCAAATCTGGTCGTGCATTAGTTAAATAAATCAAACGTCCTACCAACTCTGGTAGTGAGATGGATCAGAAAGAAACTCACCAGACTCAGCCGAAAGTTTCAGATTTGGATCCATAGGAGTAGATGCAGGCTTGCACCCCATCATATTGGTGTCCCGAAGAAGATCCAAAGTATACTTCCGTTGGGATAATGATATCCCACTGCAAGAACGAGCTACTTCAATCCCCATGAAATATTTGAGAGGACCCAAGTCCTTGATGTCAAATACTTGACTAAGCTCCTATTTTACCTTAGTAATACCAACGTAGTCATCTCTTGTAAGGATGATATCATCTACATAGACTGACAAAATAATACATTGACCATTGGGCTGACGACGAATA